AATTAATGTATTTGAAAATAAGTGGGAATAGTCAAAAGAAGCGGACCAATCAAAAGTTGTTTTTTCGTGGCTAGTCTTTGATTATAGGTTGGATAGGCTGGATTTCCGTAAGCGCATATGCGCGCATTTATCTATAGTTCATGTCACGTAACTATAACAAAATGCGCGCATATGTGCTTTACGGAACCCAGCTATAGTGTCTCTATCATTGTCGTGTTGTACTGTTGTCATTACTGTTGTTATTATTTCAATTATTTCATTACAGTGTAGGCATTTTTTCACTGGCTTATCATGCACAGAACGACTCGCACGTCCTATCGTATAGGAAACCGTGCTAATGGTGCTACAAAAGGTAAGTACGTTTTGTGACAAATGTATTGTGACATTTCAATCACTCCACATCGGTCGCGGATAGGTTATGTTTTTAACAGATCTCATTTTCTCTCTCGCTCCATCTTGAACGCTATTACAGAGACGTTCCGACTTTCCGCTCCCCTCTGTCTCCGCCGTGCTCTCCAGAATCTCCTATTCCATGACACCTAGACTCTCGATGCACGACATTCATCGCTGACGTTTTGACGAATTAAGTTTATCTGTTAATTAAAATCACGGGGCAATCGATTCAAAACATTTTATGATTCCGACGATGATGATACTTGTCGAGCCGCGGCACACAATCTCCACAAAACTGGGATAGAGCATCTGGTTAGAACTCTAAACCAACATGGAGTACATATAATAATTAGAATGTTAGTTCTGTATTCATTCACATGAGACAGTGAGATTAATTTTAATTGTTTAGTAATTTCTGGACATTTTCTTTATCTAAATATTTAATATTTTTCGATTTTTAAATTATATATAGTTTTATGATTGCTTTAATAAATTACTTTTAAATTTGTATTTATTTATCTTTTTTTTCTATTTTCTTAACGTTCGAGCAATCTTGAATAATATGAGTTCTTATTTATATTTCGAATTTTGTTAATATTGATGTTTATTGATGTTTATGTTTATTGATGTTGATTTACATTTATTGATGTTTATAATAATATGAAAATTTATAAAATTTATTTTTCATTATTACATATGTTTTTATGTTTAGTATTTTCTATATATTTTTATATATCATTGCTTGTAATAATATATATGACACTATGTTTTATTGAGGTCAGAAAATTCAATGTTAACAATTTGTTTAACACAGGAAGGCAGAGATGTAACACAGAGAAAAATATAGCAAAGACTTTCTCTGTACACAGTAATGATGCAAGTTTATTGATACAAGAACAAAACAAGAACAAATTGAATACCACCAAAGAAGTAACAAATAATTTAAAAACAGTCGAAACACAATCCATTTTAGAAACATGCAAATCTTCTATAGCAATAGTTTATTCTTATAATCAAGTAAGTATCTTACATTAAAATTTATCTTATAGTAATTTTTTAAGATTATCTGTACTATACTGAATTAGTGCATATTAAAGATTATAACATATGAAATATATAAATACAATGGCATATTATTATTTCTTTAATGATAAAATCATTAATGTATTGTAATGTATACTAAAGAATATGACAAATTCATTGTTGATTATTTATATAAATGTTTGAAATATTTATGTATTTTTATATTTTAATAATTTTATCCATAATAATATTTAATGTGCACTAATTTGGTATACAAGTAAATTCATTATTAAATATGTTTATTCATAAATAGATGAATAAATAAACAATATATATAAAATCACATATAGTGTTATTTCATTTATTGCAGGATTTAAACACTGAAGTTACAAAAGAAAAAAATCAAGTAGTTCTTTTTAATAATGCGCAAACTATTTCAACTTGTGTTCAAGTAAAAGAAGAGATTATATCTTATGTAGAACAATTTAAAACCGATGGTAGAAATTGCAAATTTATTAATGTAGATATTTTACAATTAGCCTTTTTTATGACATATAAAAATATTTATTTTTTAGAAACGCCAGTAGCTGTTCCAATTCATATGCCTTCTACACCACATAGAATAAAAATGCCATCAGAAGATTTAGATGAGAAAGCTACAATTATTACTAAGGAAAAACAATCTGTGATTACATTATTTAGTCCATTGCGAATTATAAAAAAGCCGACTCTACGTGGCCGTAAAAGAGTAGCCTCCAATCAATCCTTTAGTAATCGTTTGTCAAAGCCGTCAAGCATTGAAACAAATCATTCAATTACTGACTACTTTCCAGTACGCCGTAGTGTAAGAAAGAGCAAAAAAGCTGTATTGGAAGAAAAACAGCGTGATTTAGAAAATAAGGTACTTTATCAAGTAGAAGATGGTTTAGAGGTAAGAACCTGTGCATAATAAGAATTAATAGGAATATACTTCATTTTTTAACTAATTCAAATTATCAATATTTAATCTATTGAAAGAGTATATATACATCTGACCAATAAAATTAAATAGACAATAGAGACTTATGGTATAATGGTATTATGGTATATATGGTCAGATTCAAGAAAGAGCCTATTTTATCAATTTAATTAAATAAATTCCAAAAAAATTTAGGATTTAGAAATTTAGAAATTTTTTATTTGAATTCGCCTTTGGCAAATTCTCAGAAATCTGTAAGAAATGTTTATTGTGAAAAATATTATTTCAACCAGGAATATTTTTCGTAATAAAAATTTCTTACAGGTTTCCGATAATTTGCCGAGAATTTATTATTGAAATATTAGTGGAGTATTAAATTATTTTTTTAATCTAATTATGTAATTAAATTTAAAAAAATAAACGCTGAAGATCTTGCCTGATTATATATGCCTGACTATATATGAATCTCCATTAATATATTGTTTAACTTTTTTCTGTTACAGATCAGAAATTTTCCGGGTAAAGGACGCGGTGTCATAACGACGCGAGAATTTGCTAAAGGTGAATTTGTAGTAGAATATATTGGTGAACTGATCAGCCAAGGAGAAGCAAAGGAACGTGAAGAAATATACGCCCAAGATCAGAATACTGGTTGTTACATGTATTATTTTCAACATCGTAATCAACAGTATTGGTAAGTGAATTTTTGATAAAATAATCATTCTTAATATAAAAATAGTAACAATCAGAATAGAAAAAGTTTGTAATATATATGTCGCGGTTTTCAGTGTTGACGCAACAGCGGAGACTAATAAACTTGGAAGATTGGTCAATCATTCGAGGACCGGCAATTTAATTGCACGAATCGTTGAAGTCGGTTCAATACCACATCTGGTACTTACGGCAAAAGAAAATATACCAATCGGCGTAGAGATCACATATGACTACGGAGACCGAAGTCGCGAATCTATTCGTCATCATCCATGGTTGGCGTTATAGCACTTCCAATTTATTATTTATATAATATCGCTTTACATTGTAAAAAAGATTCATTTCATTTTTGTTCCTCTTATGAAGAAAGTAGCGCGTATGTTAAATTATGTATATAAATTGTTTTGACAACGAGATGGCGTATTAAACACGCGACTTTGCAAGCTTATATGCTAATAAATTCCATATATACTTTTTTATTCTATGGAATTGATTTATTTAAATGAGCAAAAGAAGTTTATATTGAATAGTTAATCATGATAATTAGATATTATATAATTAGTCTTTTTAATATTTGAT